TCCTACCGATCCTTGACTTCGGCGATGTCATTTACAAAATAGCCTCCAACACTCTACTCAGCAAATTGGATGTAGTCTATCACAGTGCCATCCGTTTTGTCCCCAAAGCCCCATATACTACCCACCACTGTGACCTGTACGCTCTTGTTGGCTGGTCCTCACTACATATTCGTCGCCAAACCCACTGGCTCCAGGCCATCTATAAATCACTGATAGGCAAATCCCTGCCTTATCTTAGCTCATTGGTCACCATAGCAACACCCATCCGTAGTATGCGCTCCAGCAGGTATATCTCACTGGTCATCCCCAAAGCCAACACCTCCTTTGGCCGCCATTCCTTCCAGTTCTCTGCTGCCAATGACTGGAACTAATTGCAAAAATCTCTGAAGCTGGAGACTCTTATGTCCCTCACTAACTTTAAGCGTCAGTTGTCAGAGCAGCTTACCGATCACTGCACCTGTACACAGTCCATCTGAAATTAGCCCACCCAACTACCTCATCCCCATATTGTTATTTATTTTGCTAATTTGCACCCCAGTATCTCTATTTGCACATCATCTCTTGCACATCTATCATTCCAGTGTTAATACTAATTGTAATTATTTTGCACTATGGCCTATTTATTGCCTTACTTCCATAACTTGCTACATTTGCACACACTCTATATATATTTTCTGTTGTATTTTTGACTTTATGTTTTGTTTTACCCCATATGTAACTCTGTGTTGTTGTTTTTATCGCACTGCTTTGCTTTATCTTGGCCAGGTCGAAGTTGTAAATGAGAACATTTACAAATGAAAGTAAACGCTGAGTCATGTTGTTCTCTCTTCTACACTCAACCTCTTCCCCTCTTTACTTTGTCATTTCTCTGTCAGTCTTAATATGAACCCACCCTGTGGATGGTTCCTCTACCTCCACCCACTTCTCTCCCTCTCCATCTAATACCTTTTCTTTCTCCTTCCTTCTGTCTCTCTCGCTCATCCCGACCTAACACACTTCCCCTCGCTCTCTTTCGCCCCCTCCCTCTCTCCCTATTCATCACCCCGTCTGCTGGTTTCTCACTCTAACATAGCCCAATGTATATAATAGGAACATATATCCTGATTCCTACCCCCAGATATCCTGATTCCTACCCCGATGTATCCTGATTCCTACCCCGATGTATCCTGATGCCTACCCCCAGGTATCCTGATTCCTACCCCCAGGTATCCTGATTCCTACCCCGATGTATCCTGATTCCTACCCCGATGTATCCTGATTCCTACCCCGATGTATCCTGATTCCTACCCCCAGATATCCTGATTCCTACCCCCAGATATCCTGATTCCTACCCCGATGTATCCTGATACCTACCCCCAGATATCCTGATTCCTACCCCGATGTATCCTGATACCTACCCCGATGTATCCTGATACCTACCCCCAGATATCGTGATGCCTACCCCCAGGTATCCTGATGCCTAACCCCATGTATCTTGATACCTACCCCCAGGTATCTTGATTCCTACCACCAGGTATCATCATGTCTACCCCCATGTATCCTGATTCCTATCACCAGGTAACCTGATGCCTACCCCCATGTATCTTGATTCCTACCCCCATGTATCCTGATTCCTACCCCATTGTATCTTGATACCTACCCCCAGGTATCCTGATGCCTACCCCCATGTATCGTGATGCCTACCCCCAGGTATCCTGATGCCTAACCCCATGTATCTTGATACCTACCCCCAGGTATCCTGATTCCTACCCCCAGATATCGTGATGCCTACCCCCAGGTATCCTGATGCCTAACCCCATGTATCTTGATACCTACCCCCAGGTATCTTGATTCCTACCACCAGGTATCATCATGTCTACCCCCAAGTAACCTGATTCCTACCCCCAGGTATCCTGATGCCTACCCCCAGGTATCCTGATGCCTACCCCCAGGTATCCTGATGCCTACCCCCAGAGGGAGGAGGACATGGAGAGGGATCCAAAAAGCCTATCCGAGAGAGATCGAGAGGCGAAGGAGAGAGATAGAGAGAGAGAGAGAGGAGAGGAGAGGAGAGAGAGAGGAAAAGGGAGAGCGAGAGAGAAGAAAAAGGAGATAAAGAAGGAAGAGAGAGAGAGGAGAGAGAGAGAGAAAGAGGAAGAGAGAAGCGAGAAGAGAGAAAGAAGAGAAGAGAGAGAAGAGGAGGAGAGAGAGAGGAGAGAAGAGAGAGAGAGGAGAACAAAAGAAAAAAAAGAGAGAAGAGGAAGAGAGAGAGGAGAGAGAGAGAGAAGAGAAACGAAGGAGGAGATGTAAGAGGAGATAGAGAGAGATAGCAGAGAGAGATCTCGACCTATCCATCTCACTCCTCTCTCTGCGCCCAAAATGCCTACCCCTATCCCTCTCTCTATCTCTCTCTCTACCTCTCTTCTCCTCTCTCTATCTCGTCTTCTCTCTATCTCTCTCTCTCTCTATCTCTCTCTCTCTCTGGGTAGACAGCATTTGCTCTGTGTTGTTTATGTTGTGTACAGTTGGGACCGGTGTCACTCTTCACCCTCCCGCCCACACTAGTACCCTACCCTATTCCGCTCTCCGCCAGCCACGATGTTGCCATGGCACCAGGTTACAAAATGCTCTGTAATACGTTTTAATAATATATATAATATGTGTTTATTTTGTATGTAATACAGTGTTTATTTATCAGAGTACAGCACTGTGACTTCAAAGGTCTCTCTGATGTGCCGTTTAAAGGATTCAGTTATGTCGCTGGTGCATTTTCTTTATCAAGACTTCCAGGTTCTATGTCCTTTATTGGGCTTGAGGGACCATTAGCCCAGATAACTAAACCTTTTCATCAAAGAATGTTTCAATATGGTTCCCAAGGGGTTTTGTGACACCACCAGAAGAGAATGTCCTCTGGGCATTAGTTTACGAAAACCTTGAAAATGAGAAATCTAGGTTGGGGTAATATAATCTTTAACCTAACAGAAATATGCTGGGAACCAGAAACAGTCAACATGGAACATCCCAAGTGTTATTGTCACTGGAGTAACCTGTTACAGACTAGACAACATGAGGTCCACGTCTTCAACCCTGAAGTAACCTGTTACAGACTAGACAACATGAGGTCCACGTCTTCAACCCTGAAGTAACCTGTTACAGACTAGACTAGATGAGGTCCACGTCTTCAAACATGAAGTAACCTATTACAGACTAGACAACATGAAGTCCACGTCTTCAAACCTGAAGTAACCTATTACAGACTAGACAACATGAGGTCCACGTCTTCAAACATGAAGTAACCTATTACAGACTAGACAACATGAGGTCCACGTCTTCAACCCTGAAGTAACCTGTTAGACCAGACAACATGAGGTCCACCTCTTCAACCCTGAAGTAATCTGTTACAGACCAGACAACATGAGGTCCACGTCTTCAAACCTGAAGTAACCTGTTACAGACCAGATAACATGAGGTCCACGTCTTCAACCCTGAAGTAACCTGTTAGACCAGACAACATGAGGTCCACGTCTTCAACCCTGAAGTAACCTGTTACAGACCAGACAACATGAGGTCCACGTCTTCAAGCCTGAAGTAACCTGTTAGACCAGACAACATGAGGTCCACCTCTTCAACCCTGAAGTAATCTGTTACAGACTAGACAACATGAGGTCCACGTCTTCAACCCTGAAGTAACCTGTTAGACCAGACAACATGAGGTCCACCTCTTCAACCCTGAAATAATCTGTTACAGACCAGACAACATGAGGTCCACGTCTTCAAACCTGAAGTAACCTGTTACAGACCAGACAACATGAGGTCCACGTCTTCAAGCCTGAAGTAACCTGTTACAGACCAGACAACATGAGTAATGGGAGAACCTTCCAGAAGGACAACCATCTCTGCAGCACTCCAATAATCAGGCCTTTATGGTAGAGTGGCCAGACGGAAGCCACTCCTCAGTAAAAGGCACATGACAACCCGCTTGGAGTTTGCCAAAAGGCACCTAAAGGACTCTCAGACCATGAGAAACAAGATTCTTTGGTCTGATGAAACCAAGATTGAACTCTTTGACCTGAATGCCAAGTGTCACGTCTGGAGGATACCAGGCACCGCTAATCACCTGCACAATACCATCCCTACAGTGAAGCGTGGTGGTGGCAGCATCATGCTGTGGGGATGTTTTTCAGCGGCAGGGACTGGGAGACTAGTCAGGCTGGGGCGAAGGTTCACCCTCCAACAGGACAACGACCCTAGCACACAGCTAAGACAACGCAGGAGTGGCTTCGGGAGAAGTCTCTGAATGTCCTTGAGTGGACCAGCCAGAGCCTGGACTTGAACATCTCACGAGAGACCTGAAAATAGCTGTTCAGTGACGCTCCCCATCCAACCTGACAGAGCTTGAGAGGATCTGCAGAGAAGAATGGGAGAAACTCCCCAAATACAGGTGTGCCAAGCTTGTAGCATCATACCCAAGAAGACTCGAGGCTGTAATCGCTGCCAAAGGTGCTTCAACAAAGTACTGAGTAAAGAGTCTGAATACTTATGTAAATGTGATATTTCAGTTATATTTTTTTATAAATGAGCAAAAATGTCTAAAAACCTGTTTTTGCTTTGTCATTGTGGGGTATTGTGTGTCCATTGATGAGGGGGAAAAAGAATGTAATCCATTTTAGAATAAGGCTGTAACATAAGAAAATGTGAAGGGGTCTGAATACTTTCCCAATGGCACTTAGCAGACGCTTTTATCCAAAACAACTTGGTCACGCATGCACCCATTTAAAGTACAGGTTGTCCCGGGAATCAAACCCACTATCTTGGCATTCCAAGCGCCATGCTCTACCAACTGAGCTACAGTGTTCTGTTCCTTCTTTGTATAGAATTATATTTGTTTTGGAATTGTTTGGAAATGCAACTTTTGGAATTTAGGAATTCAATTTGGGAATTGTACGGGAATTCAATTTGGGAATTGTATGGGAATTTTGGAGATCCAATGATTGAATGTCTCTGTCCTGTGCCATCCCAGGTCCACCCAGATTAAGACGTACTCATGGGACAACGCCCAGGTAATCCTGGCGGGGAACAAGGCTGACATGGAGGAGGAAAGGGTGGTGTCAGTGGATAGTGGTCGAATGCTGGCCGAACAGCTTGGTGAGTGGACAACTACACTGTCAGTCATATCACCCTCAAATCAGTACACTCAGAAAGGGACAAACACTGGCTGGAGAAATAGGTTTGACTAAAATATCTCAGGTACGTCACGTGTTGATATCAGTGGATCATTTATTAGAAAGTCCAAGCTGGCATGTCTAATTTTGTAGAAATTTGAGATTCAGTCTGAATCAATTTAATGTAATATTTGATGGTAAACTTTTAATGATAACATTACAAACTTTTTACTGGGTTATTTGAGGAGGGTCCAAAAAGGTAATCTGAGTGTGCAAAAAAAGAGATCTGGAAGGTCCAAAAATGGAATCAGGAATTTCAAGAAAGGGATCTAGTACACGTCCCATAACCTAGTCCGGAAGTCCAAGGAAGTTATCCCTCTGTCGTGTATTATTCATTAGAGCCTTCACTAGGCTCCTCTATCGCTAGGCCATAATTAAACACTTCTAATTGGCTGACACACTCCAGAACAGCGCCTCATTCAGCCTCTTTCTGATTGGTGAAAAGCGCATAGAAGGGGAAGAAATCTGTGAAGCAATAGAATAATACATATCCAAATATTCTCTAATAGGTCACTGAATATGCACACACACACACAGAGACACACACAGAGACACACACACACACAGACACACACACAGAGCCAAAACCCTGATATCTCACTTCTCTGCCTGACCCTTTCTATCTCTCAGGGTTTGAGTTCTTCGAGACGAGTGCTAAGGACAATGTCAACGTAAAACAAACATTTGAGCGTCTCGTCGACCTCATCTGCGACAAGATGTCCGACAGTTTAGAGACTGACCCGGCTGTCACCACAGGAACGCCCAACGCTAGGCTAACTGACAACCCCCCTCCCTTGCAGCAGCCCAACTGCGGTTGTTAACCAGGAAAATGACAACAACAATAACAACAATCTAAGACGTATGAGATTGCCAAAATATTGTATAATCCCTTAGGTGGATCTGTAATACCTTTCATTGTATTATTCTTCATATCTGACTTAGTCTCATGGATTAAACATTTCTGATGTGCCTAGTACATTTTTTCAGATTGTTTGTGTGTTTCAAGTTGGCTGACTCATCATGTTGTATATTCACAAAACTGACAAATAGACATGTACAGTAATGCCATGTCAGTATGTCATGACCATTAATCAGTAATTCCACATCAGTCGGTTTATTTATCTATTTATTTATATAAAAACATAAATACAGGATCTCGTATATACTATATTAACCAGAGAAAATATTGTGTGTGGTTTATGGAATGCTCTGTCAATGACATCATGATCTGTGTATGGTTAAGTTGCCATTTCCCTCTTGCATATCCTGTATTTCCTCCCTCCCCTATTCCTACAGTGTGTGTGTGTGTGTGTGTGTGTGTGCGCTAGTGCCACTGTTAAGCATTGAACATTACCGTAACAAATTATTACCTACCTTGCGAAAGTGATGCCTTTCAAAATCTCTTGCCATAGTTAGTTGTTTGTGTATTGTTTCATATTTTTACATCGCCACACTAGATATATGAAACCAATGTGATTATCTGTGGTTAGAACCAATGTGATTATCTGTGGTAAGAACCAATGTGATTATCTGTGGTTAGAACCAATGTGATTATCTGTGGTTAGAACCAATGTGATTATCTGTGGTTAGAACCAATGTGATTATCTGTGGTTAGAACCAATGTGATTATCTGTGGTTAGAACCAATGTGATTATCTGTGGTTAGACAGATGCATGGCTTTATTCTCAGGATATTAATAAAGTAGTTTGTTCAGTGACAATGGATTAGCTGCCATAGTATAACAGTTGTCTAATGCTAACTTGTACAGTACTATAATGTAGTATAGGTAGGTAGTCATCACAATAATACCTGCGTGGTATTTAACAGTTTACTTTATTAAACAAGTGGTACATTTAATGTGGCTGTAAAGTGGTATAATTACTACTCCGATGACTGCTGTTTGAAAACAGTATGCACCTGTGAGTGCAGAGAACAGTTTCTGATGTGTTTCTCAATGTTATATCTATGTACGAGCAATGGTCTGTGTAATACTGCCAACTGGTCAGTAATCTGCAGTAACTAAGACCTAATCATTTCTGCAGTGCGGAATCCATTGTAGCTCATCCTCAGTTGTCAGCCGTAGGTTTCAGTCTGGGCTTACAACGGATGTCCTCAAATGGGTTCCGTACTGCAGTGCTAGGTCCAGTGCTGCAACTGTTAATGAAATGGTCCTAAATTAACGGCAGAAAGCACATAATAACGCCAGTTCCTGGAACAATAAAGGTTGAGAGACACTGTGAGACGTACAGAGAAACCAAGGAGGGGTCCCAGACAACTATTTCAGGGAAGTGAGTCACGGCATCAATATTTCAACAGTCTGACCTGACTTGACTACAGGATTATAAATAAGGAGCCACTTCCATAATTCATACCATCTCATTCTCTGGACTTCTCCTCAAATACTTTTTATTCGCCGCCCTTCAAAGAGACACTCCTTCTGACATTATTCACCATTCATTTACTGGAGCTTGTAGTAATGTTTTACTTCTCAGTTAGATTATTCATTACTTTTTTTAAATAGTTCTAGAAAAGTTCCCTTGAAAAAACCAGAGACAGTTATCCTAAATGGACCCCTACGTGCCAATGTACTAGAAAACAAATAGAAAGGAAGCTGTTTTTAGGTGTTGTGGGATTATTTTGTTAAAAAGGGCATGTTACTGTTAGCTAGACCAAGTGTCATGCCAAATATTGTCTTGCAGAAAATGCTGCAATCGATTGTTGCACTTGTGAAATGGACTGCCTATGAATCGTTGCATTTTCTGCGGCACACTTGCATGACGTTGTGCCAGATCTATTTCTATATATCTATATCGGTATACTTATTCTATTGTATTTGTGCACCCTCAGGTCTCGTCTTGAGGTGCAATGGGCCAATAAGTGCAATATTTTAAAAAGCCTGTTTCTCTGTGAATAGCCATCTGTCTGTGCCATGCATAACTGTTAGGATTGAATTCCTTTGCCTTTTACGAGTGGTGTGTGAGTAGGGGTTAAATTGGCCGGGGGGCATAGTGGAAAGTCTCCTACTTTTGTAGCAGAAAACTTAAGACGCGTCCTAATAGTGGAACAAGAGAAAGCAAGTTCCGATGTCTTCCCAACTGAACCCCAGTGGGCATGATTGTGAATACACAATTCTGACGTATTATAGTGAGAACATGCAGCCTGTCAGAAAGCCAAGTCGTTTTCTCACAATGTCAACACTGTCATCTAAAGACGGAAAGCTCTCTAGATGGTTTTGCTACCAAAACAGTTGTCGACAAAGTGGCAGAGAGAATGATGTACGTGTGAATGAGAGAGAATGCTATGTGTGTGATTGGATGCCTCCCCTTGTACATTAATCCACCTCCTTGATGAAATATATACAATGTGTTGTTTTAGACTTCAGCGTGTGTAGAGCTTTATATTGTGTTTTCTGGTGCAGTAAGAACAGCCCTCTTAGTATGTGGGTCCCAAGATATTGAAGTGTTGTCGTCTGTTCAGCTTCTGTGAAACATCAAGACAGAGATTAAGCCTTACTACGGTATATGCAGTATGGACAGAAACGAGAAAAACTGGTTAATAACAGGTCACTTTACCCTTTGTTATTTAATAAGTCATAAACGGCATTGTCATTCCATTCATGATAACACACAAAAAGAGAAACAGCGTACTTCGCTGTACACCAGGGGCTCTAATGATAACACACTTATGATCAAATGTTGACCCCTTGACCCCTCTTAGGTTAATTGCCACTCTACTATGTACAGTATGGTGTCCTTGACAGCAGGTCACTTTCCCTTTACCTCTTTGAAACAATTGTTTGTGGTGCGCTGTTCCTCGGTCTGGCATTTCCTGCTTTGTGGACGTGGAGAAGCCAGTTTTGAGATCCTAGCCTGCCCTATTCTGCCGTCGCATCTGTTCAAGCGTAACGCCAGCTGCTCACCTCACCAATATTCTCTGGGACCTTTCCTCTGTGTAGCCTAACAGAATTAGAATTCAAGCGTTGAACAACCCTCAAAAGCCTCTCACAAATTTCACCATACAACTGCTAAATCTCATTTTCTCCTTTTGTTCTTTCATATTTTTATTCAATTTTTATTTAACCTTTATTTAACTAGGCAAGTCAGTTAAGAACAAATTCTTATTTACAATGACGGCCTACACCGGCCAAAACCGGACGACGCTGGGCCAATTGTGCGCCGCCCTATGGGATATGTTCTCAACATGTCTGTACTGTAGCTCGGAGTGTTTGAATTGGACCATCTCTTCAGCTGTAGAGACACACTGATAGTAATAAAATGTGTCAATGACGTGTCTGGTAAAAAGAAGTCAAGTGGTTTCTTTGAATTCTTGATTTGTATAATAGCTATCTTATAACAGAAAATGTCTGCTGTATCTCTTTGAGTCTTCAGATGGACCTAAACTGATAATACATCATTGTACTGTTATAGTGACCTATTCTATTTTCCTTGTATGAACTACTCATGAGCTGGATATTTAGCTTTTGTGTATGTGTGTGTGACATGATGTATTACACAGGTGTTTTCAAGATGCCAATAAAAATATACCAATTGTATTCTTGTGGAATTTTTTGGGCAGTTTGTTATAATAAATATTATTGCAGTTTGTCATTTCAATGGTTTCAAGATTGGGGAAAGAAAAATGTCTGACATACCCAGATGGTTTCTTTGCTTCACCGGCACTGTAAGTCTGCCATCTGCTGGAGAAAAAATAAAGAAAGCAATGTACCTCCCTATACCATATTCTTTCTATATTCTTGCCACAGTACAGTCATAATACTACACATCTTGTCGCAGGCTTTGACCTCATCCCTCAAGGCACATTTCTCCATGCAAACTTATCAACAATTAGCAAGTAACCTAGCAAGTAGATATTATAGTCTTTTTAGTTTCTCGTGTAAATAATTGATAGTGTATTTCTCGTGTGTTCTTTTTTTTTTTTTAGCATTTTTCAAATTACCTAGCTAGCTACCATAGCATTTTTAAATTACTTGAATTTTGGCCTTTGTAGTGAACTAGCTAACCTTAGGACTCTGTCGATCAGAAGCAAATATGGTTCTGTGCTATGTACCGGATTGTAACCACTACACCCATAAGCACACATGCATTTTATCATTTTCCGACCTCTGTAAGCGAGAGGCATCACTGGAGCCATGTGATAAGGTAAGCCCTGTTTGCTAGCTGCTAACAAGCAATTTTGGTTAGGTCAAAGATCTGTGGTTAGCTATGTGAGTATGAAACTTTGCTAGATAACCACCGTAGTTACGTGTACAACGCACGTGCCAAACTAGCCTGACACATCAGTGAAATTTTGCCTTTACAAACATCGCATGCCACAGATTTAAGACCTGATGTAGAAATCGTGGTCTGCTGGCCAGTGCCCAAAATCATTACGTTTCCTCCCTGCATGTCAGTCCCTTTCAGACGATCCCCCTATCACTGTTGGTCCTCCCCAGTGACCTCACATCCCCCTATCACAGTTGGTCCTCCCCAGTGACCTCACATCCCCCTATCACTGTTGGTCCTCCTCAGTGACCTCACATCCCCCTATCACTGTTGGTCCTCCCCAGTGACCTCACATCCCCCTATCACTGTTGGTCCTCCTCAGTGACCTCACATCCCCCTATCACTGTTGGTCCTCCCCAGTGACCTCACATCCCCCTATCACTGTTGGTCCTCCCCAGTGACCTCACATCCCCCTATCACTGTTGGTCCTCCCCAGTGACCTCACATCCCCCTATCACTGTTGGTCCTCCCCAGTGACCTCACATCCCCCTATCACTGTTGGTCCTCCTCAGTGACCTCACGGCTGAGGGTTTTAACTT